GCTCTTTTGCGATGGCGCAAAATGCAATTTATACATTTCCGTTAAGCAAGCGAAATTCCAACAATATTTTTTCGCCTCTGCTCCGCAGGTTGCCGACATGTTTTTGCTTTTAGCGGAATACCAACCGGAAGCGACAACAATGCGGCGCATGCCACACACACACACGCACATCTAACCCTCCCTAGCAAACACCTCCACTTTGCCACTGGGCTGCAATCTCTTGTAGTACTATAGTTTGTCAGAAATTTGAACTAATTAAAATGCTTTCTAAGGGCGAACGGATATTTCAGCAAAGGAGCATATCGGATTGCGTTATTTATGGCAATATGGCCGCGACTTTTTCCTCTTTTGCATTTGTCGCTCTGGGAAATCAAGGAAAAATATTTAATTTTCCAAATCAATAAACACGCTGATTGCATTGCCTGACAATTGGCATCGGGAGCGTGCGAGAGTGGGCGGAGGCAATAAATCTGGGCATGTGTAAGAGATGTCCTGGTATTTACTGGCTAAAGTCCCGACTGGCTGGGGGCAATATCCCCAGTTATTGGTGGTCAAAAGGAGCCGAACAACAAGACAAACTGTCAAGCAGGAGCTGGGAGCTGCTGCTGCTCGAATGGCACCAAAAAATAATTGAATTCCCCAAATGCCAAAGTGGAATTTTAATTTGCGCCCGACACTTCCTAGTTGGCCTCAAGCCCCTGGAAAGTTCACAGAATTGATGCCACTGATTGCTGATCAGTATGCAAAATGTGTGCGTGCCAAAATCAGCGCAAAAAACGCTGCGTGAAAGGGCCTCGGAGGACGGGGGCATTGTCGGAGCATTGTCACACGTACTTCCATCGAACTCCCCCCGAAATTGATGTCTTAGAAAATTAGCAAACGCCTTTTTTGCCAAGTGTCGCATCTCGTGACTTGGCATTCTCAACACCTTTTTTTTCGAGACCTTTCTGGCATTTCTCTCCCCCTCCCAATCATTCTTTCTCACATTTCTTTACTGCCAAAACCTGACTTTATTCAATGCATTTTTATTACAAAAATCGAAATGAATGGGTTACTATTTGTTATTGTGGAAAATTGATTAAAACTTGCAGATAAAGGAAAATTGCATTTTATAAAAATATTTGAAAATTGGAACTGCATAACTAGTCAACAAAAAAGGTCAACTAAATCAATAAAAACTAATATTGAACTTGAAATATTATAATTAAAAAGGATTTAAGCATGAACATATAATAATGAATTTGATAAAATCAGATTAGTTATAGATGTTGATATCTGTATAGATTCGTTTTAATATACCTAATATATACCATAATAATTTTATGTAAATTATAAACTGTTGTGTTTCTAGCCGAAAACAACATTTTCACATCATAAAGCATACTTTTCCCCCCGGATGTTCGGTCCACAGGACTTTTATCGCTCGACACAAAACCGACCACTATTTTGATATAAAATAATGCTTTCTCTTTTCAGCACTTTGTGCCTCTCTCTCTCTCTCTCTCTCTTGGTATGTTCGTCTGTCTCTGTCACAATATCGTGGCATTTATAAACGCATACATATGCATGAGATCATAAAGATTGCGACTGTGTGTCGGTGTGAGCTTTGTGAGTGCAATGCATTTGTCATAAATGTAAAAAAAATGCAAAGAAACTCCGTAATGGCAAGCATGTGTATGCTCTACCCCACTCACTTCCACTCCACAGCTGGTGGAGTCTCGTCAACGGCATAATGAATGCATCCGGCATGCATTGAAAACTTGACTCATATTTCACAGCCGAAATAAAAAGGGATAAAAAATTGTACGGGTACATTGACCATCTTGTTGGCCGGGTTTTTGTCAACAGTTCGCTGTAGTTTCATTGTTGTTCTTGTCGGGCATTCAGTTTATATGAGATTTTAAGCCAGTTTTTCACATCTTTTTGATGATATTTCATAATCCCTCATGCAGTCTCTCCCCATCCTGCAAATAGCATAAATAAAATTGTATTTTAAGGTAATTCTTTCTGTGCCATGACGTGAGTAGGCCACTTTGTAGTCGATACACATTATGGCATTACAAAGCGAAGCTGGCGAATTAATTTTCAATTGCGTTCGAGAGATCAGAGATACAATTGGCATGGTTTTCAGCTTGAATTGTAATTATTGAAAGTTTTCTGTGTTGAGGGTTTAATAATAAGTTAATATATCTTCAAGAAATATGTCATATTTCCACAATTTGACACTTCCTTTACAATAATTTGGAATAATTAACCATTTTAACCAACTGTTTTTCCCACAAGTTAAGTAAATAACCAGCTCAACCGCATTGGCCACACAATTAAAAGAAATACTTGCAGGATGTGCTGCTGCTCAAGCGACTGACAAACTGGCTGACACAGACCGCACCGCACTCTTCACACAACCGTCGGGGGGTGCTGACAAAAGGCATGTCAGTCGCCTGCCAGCATCGCAGCCAAGTTGGAATGTCGGAACAGTAAACGGTAGATGTCTGCTAGACAAAGACGATTCAGCACCCCGAATTCGCCGCCCCGCTTAGCCCACCGAACGCCTTAATTCCAGCATCCACCTGTCTTGCCGAAAAGGCAGAAACAAAATGCAAAGTGCAAGTTCATGTGATATGCAAAGTGGAGTGTGCGAGGGAGCTTCTATGAGGGCTTATGTGCCAAAGTGCACTTGGAGGAATGTTTTTGGCATTTAGAAAATATATGGAGGCTAGTTTGTTAGCTAAGCTACAAGAAAAATACTAGTTTTAGATGAAAATTACCAGAGTTTTAATATTATTTATTACAATAATTATAGCCAAAAATATATTTATTTAAAAACAAATTTCCTCTTGATTTCTCTCTTCGATTTTCTCCAAGTGCCAGTGAGTGGAGGATAGATGCTAAGCAGAAGCCCTGCCAGCGACGGGCTGATAGGGCTCATGCACATAGGGGCGTATGGGTGATATGCGGTCTAAGATCATGACGAGGACGATGATGATGCTGATGATGCCGTTGAAGAATGCTTACTGACTTTTGTGCATTCTAGAAAATTGAAAACGCACCTCCACCCCAGTAGCGGTCGCTGCTGATGCCTTTCATTGTGATAGGAGCTGCCCGCAAAGAACAAACTTTTCCAGGCAGACCTATATTGAGGGATATAGCCAATTTTGGGGCTTTTGTTCCAGAATGTGAGAGGAGGTCATCAGGTGAGGTGCGGATAGTGGGAGACTGGCCATCACAACATGTTGAATGTTTTTCGGATACCCTAGACCAAAAGTTGGATGGAAAAGTTTCCTCCGGACCCCGAGTCCGGAGGATGAGCGCTTCCTACGTAATCCCCGCACATACGATGCATTGCATTGTTTATTGTTTGGCTCTCAATGGGATGGCCAGGGCTCAGCACTTTCCCTTCGACTGCCCTTTGTGTGCGTTTAGCATAAATTAGAAAATATCGATCGATCTGTGGCGAAATTGAAAAAGAAACTTTGATGCAACGCCGAAAGTTCAAATCAATGGCAAATGGCAGTGGGGAATGTTTTCGGCTAAGCTGCTAACCAACAGAAATTGTAATTTCGATGAGTACTTGGGTATTGCAAAAGGGAATTATATTGAGCAAGAGAGAAAATGAGAGCTAAATAAATAAAAGTTCTGCCCTCCACGCATTCGGTAATTGCAAGAAAATCTCATTTAATCCCAACAAATGCGACTTCATCACGCAAAAAATTATGAAATAATCTCCGTCTCTAGGCAGCAATTGCTTTCGTCCCTCTCTCTTTCTGTCTCTCCTCCCCTATATATCTGTCTGAATGTGTATATCCTTCCACGATGTTGTTGGCCCTAAGTTGCCTTTTTTGTTTTGCTTGTTTACACATTGTCCCGCTCGCGCCTTTCGGCCAGGAAAAAAATTGGAATATAGCGAGCAAAAATAGCAGTCAGAAGCATTGGATGGATATTTAGTATCGTAGTTTCTTTTGCAGCATCATCATTTCGGTTTTGTTGCGGTCGGTTGGTAGTATCTCGGCGGAATGGAGGGGACCAAAGCCCAATGAGTTGAGTCTGTCGAGTACTTAAATGAGGGTGGCTCAAGGAGTTCACTGTTGGCCGACAAATGTCAATTTTTCAACAAGTAAGCCGATAAAACTAAAATAAGAATACACATGAATCTTTTAAGAAGTGTATTAAAATATATTTAATTATTGAGTTTTACTTTAGTAAGTACCTGAGTATTCACATTTTAATTCATAGTGACGATCCGGCTCGAAGGACCAACATATTTTGAATTCAAAAGTACACCGCTTAGTTTTTGTAAACACTTATTCGTAATGCATATATTCTTATTTTAGTTCTGTTATTATATTCACTTTTAATGAAAACAAGATTGATTACTTTAGTAGTAACTTTACCAAATAAAACCCCATTAAAACTTCCTTGTTGTGAGTTCTTCAGAACTCTGTTAACGACCCTCTGGGTTCTTTAACTGCTTCCCTTGCTACCACGCCCCCACTCAGCCCCTCTGGCCATCGTTTCATGCAGATGAATGCGCGTATTTATGAAAAATGTTGTTGTCACCGCCGCCCTGTTGTTATTATGGCCGTTTGCTGGCTTTGCCATCGCTTCTCTGCTCGCTTCGGTTCGGCTGATGAGAAATAATGTTTGCGGAAAAATAAGATTTGTTTATTTTCCGAACGATTGATTTCGCCTTCCGCTGTCCTTGCCGCTCCATTTGGCCAGCTCTCTCTGTCCTCCGCCCCCCCCGGCGCTTCATTTTGCGCGGCTTAAAAATTAATTATCGCCAAAGTCGCCCTACTTATAGGGCACTCTGGCCTGTCACCCGGATAGCCATCAGAATATAATTTATCAGTATTTATATATATATCGGGAGGCTTTGTCAAAGTTCTCAAGTATTTCATCAAAGTTTTTGTTGTCCTTCGACTTTGTGTCATTCGAATTAGCCATGATTTTGGCTCCGCCCGATTGTTTTTGGTCCAGCTTTTGGTTTATAATTCACTTACCAGGCACCAGCATGAGGAGCAGCGTCAAGGATATCCAGCAGATACAGCCACGCCCACTTTGGCCCCGTCCCCGTCCCGGGCTCCACTTGTTGGCCATCTGAATAGTCGTCGTCGTCGTCGTCGTCGTTGGCATTGAAATATATAAAGATTTTTACAATTTTCTCTTGTGATTCTCCCTTCTGGAATCCTCCTTCGTTTCCGTTCGATCCTTATAAATGTATATTGGCCAATAAATGTCAATTGGTTTTGGCCTATTTCTGTGCTTTTGTAGTTTGGCTTTAGTCAACTGTAATTGCAGGGAAATTAAAGTTTGGCATTAGAGATTATGCTCTAAATATAGCTATCATTTGTCAATATAAGTGAATTATTTTTAATGCTAAAACGACAGTTTCGGAGAAATTAATTATATAGGCTGTTTTGAAAAAGAGCGAGAAAATGCAATATATCAAAAAAAAAAAGGAAAATCGAAATAATTAAGCAGTTTAAGCTTCGATAAACACAAACTCATACAAAAATTAACAACTTCTATGCATTATTAACTGCTGTCGTTTTTGCTATGAATATTTGATTCACATATTAGCCCATACGCGATGGCCGCTTGAAATTAATATTTTAAATTACCGCAAAACAACGCTAAACTTTATTGGTTTTTGATTGCCAAATAAATAATTCAGAGAGATTCATTTAAATAATTTACCAAGTGCCGCCTCTGGATCCCGTTCCACTTCGCGGTGTTCAGCATTATTCCGCTCTGTGCTCATGGCAAATACTGTGATTAATGCAATTAACTGCAGTACTTTAATTAAAAAATCGCTTGAAACTCAAATACAGAAAAAAAAACACACATGCACACCACTGAAATCGATTTCAATTGAACGCTAATCCCCCTGTGTGTTGCACTAAGCAAATGAAAAAAATAATAGCACTAAGAGCCAAGAAAAAACTTAATTCACAGAAAACTGTAAGAAAAAATAGAAAGAGCCCCGGGTAAAAAAGGGAATATAAAAACTGTGCAAACAAAACACTAGTGCTGGCAAGAATTGTTGGAATAAATCTTCTGATATTTAAACTCAATTCAATTTATTTAAAAACCGCACTTCTGGGAAAGGTATAAATCATTTCACTTAACCTATGTATGTTTTTTTGGCCTCTATTTTTTCTCTGCCGGTTTCCTTTTATTTTATCCTGATCCCTCCGTTTCCTAATTGTCCTTCCGTTTCGCCATAAAAAGAGCCAAAAGGGAAACTTTAGTTCAGAGTTTAATTATTTTTCATTTAAATCAAATACACAGGCACACCCCCACATACATATGTGCTTGTGCTCCTTTTCCCATGTTTATTCTCGTCAGGAAAACTTATTTTCTCTTTTACTGGTTTTTCGGCAGAGACTTTGCCTTAGCGTTGCCAATTTTCATTTCGCTTCGCTACTTTTCCACTCATATGAAGCAAAAGTGACACCAGCAGCCTTACACATATATAACCAAAGCTCTTTGGAAAAGCGTAAATGTTAAGACTAATACTCTTTTGTCACTGATATAAGGTATTTTTAGGTACAAGGTATCCTTTTCTTAACAGTATACATTATATGTATTATATTATCAACATATTTCTTCATAGAAAAAGTTTTTAATATACAAAAGTTTCATTTGAAATGCATACACACCTAAAGAGAACTCAATACCACTTAAATTTTAGAGATCTCTTTCGAAAATACTTTATCATTTAAAGTGCTTTCAATGCCAAAAAAAAAACAAAATTCTAGTGATATGGAAAGAAACGAAAGAGAGACACTGGAGAATAGCCAGCCCTCACACTGCATTTAAGGTAATGAGCACATACAAAATGCAATTAAAAGCTTGTTGCCAAAAATGCTATTTTGCGTATCTTTTTCTTTCCTCGCTGCCATGCACACATCCCAGCATACGTACATAATCGTATATGTATATTTTAAGCTTGGACTTTGCAGTTTTGGGCACAGCATGCAAAGCATTAATGCATTTTATGGGTTCCAACCGACAGCGAATGCTTTTAACGATCCTACGGCGAAACAGCTCGGGGGAAAAACCCCAAAAAAACAAAACGTGCAAATGGCTAAAATAAAAATTTCCTTTCATTTCACTGAGAAATCCAAAGGCAACTATTTTTAAAAGGCACTTGGATGTACTCAATTTATAAGGTGAATTAACGAAAATACTAACTTTGAACTAGTTTTTGGGGAAATTGTAATTAATGTAGCTAGAGAAAATTAAATAAATAATTATTTAACAAACTTTGGAAGGCAACCTTTTACTCTACTTTCATATATTTACACAAAATGTGAAAAATAGAAAAACAATAGGAAAGCATTATAAGAAGAGTTTCTCTACATTCTCTGTGTAACCTTAGCTCAACTTATTTTCGAAGAAGCTTGGAAAACTCAACATCAAATGAGTTGTGTTTGCTTTATAAGTCAACGATTCTATTATGCAATGTGTAATGTATTGTAACAAGTGCAAATCCCTTGGTTTCTCCTGGAGATACATTTGTATCTTTTCTGTTTTGCATCTCATGCAGTTCATTGGCCCTGATGATTTCCATTCTATTTCCAGTCTGTATTTCTTTTGCTGCTCCTTGGTTACGGCTCACTTATTTCATTTTTCCTGATACCTTGTGGTATTCGAATTGTTTACACAATTTATTCAAACTTCGTCTGAGAAGTGAAGTTGAAAAAGAGACCCCAGAATGACAAGGCTTTTTTGTTCCAATTGGCTTTGCCTAGTTTTGTGGGTCAAGTGGGGAAGCCTGACTGCGGATGCTGGCATATATGCAAATGTCACTCCCAGTGTGTGTTTGTGTGTGAATCAAACCGCCGATTGCAATTACGAGTAGATCAAAGTGTTTCCAACAGATTACCTTTGAAGTAAGGCATGAACCCAAACTACACCCATATTGGTTAGATTGAAGGGCTCCTCAAACATTAATTTAATTGCAATGTCACTCAAAGAGGTCATTGCTATTGCTGGTATGAGTTTGCATATATATTTTTAAGTTTTTTTGTATAAATTTGAAGCTGTGTGTTATCACTTACACTTTTTGTTTGAGTGCAAGTCCAAGCACAGGTATATAATAATAAGAGCCTTTGAATAGGTTCCTCTTTTAGTAATTTAAATGAAGAACATTCTTAAAAACTATATTATTAAATTATAAAATTTTTCATTTATTGTTAACGCAACTCTTCACCTTGCATAAGGGCCGTAGCTTGCGTTCACCTGCCTCAAAACACTCACCTGGCGAGCTGTAACAACGAGAGCTGTTTCCAGTGTGCTCACGTCACCGTTGTCGTGCAGCTGCCAACCTTTCTTAGACCGCAAAAACTCATTACACCGCCGCCCCGCCGTCCCTCACGCGCCCTTTGTGCGATTCTTTGCACCGGCGCTGTCGCTGCCTCTGTCGTTCGGTGCGTTTTTGCTATTTCGCAATTAAAACTTTCATTAAAGTAATTAAAATTGCAACAAAATAAACAAAATACAATCGAAATCTGCAAGGTCTGGCGAGAGGCGAGTGCAGAGAGTTTGGGGAGTTTCCGGGGTAAAAGGCAGCTGTGTGGGGATTTGACAGACACACAAAAATGCAGTTAAAAGTGTACGTGGGTGGCGAAAACAAAGACAAAAGTGTGACAAATATAAACAGGAGTATAAATAAAATGGTAAAACGCCACCCCCGCCCTCACCGAGACCGGTGGGGGGGGGATACAATAAAATGTGGTAATTGTAAATAAGTGGAAAATGAGTGCCACACAGACGGCGGAGTGGAGCTGGAGGTGTGTCTATTGCATTTGGCGGGATAACATTTTAAATTCAAATTAAACGACCGGCAAAGCCACAGAAGGATTGACATGAAGTTAGTGCCGCCGCCCAGGAGGAGCAAAAACAGAAGCGAAAAACGGCAGGACGACAACTTGACTAAAGGCAACCACAAACTCTAGTTGGCAGCTGTCGTTGTTGCACCAGCATTTGCCATCTATTGTTTTATTTGAGCTCCACATTTGCATGGCAAATAGTGAAACCAGCGAGAAGAGAGCGAAGTTGGGCTAACAAATAAAGCCTTTCCTGGGTTATTGTGGCTTTCAATTAATTTCGAAATAATTTGCACTTGAAAATCTAAGCAAAAAATAAAAATAAAAGCTATTCCCATTATGGTTTTTTGCCTGGTTAATTGCCAAAACCAGACGACATGACAACAAATAATAAAAGTTATTTCACAGCTTCAGTCAAAAACTATGAAATAGATCACTTGTTACTACGACAATCCCTAGTTACTCGTTATGATTTCTATCAACAAGGCAGATTATACCTAAAAACCTTTTGAATGTTTCAATTGTCGTACTTGTTTTCGAAGCAATTTCAAATTCATATTTACAACACACTGACAGATATGGGAAATTTGATACCCCAAAAGGCACATGTGCCGTGTGTCTTTGGGACGGAAATAAAAGATTTTACAAGACATTGCACAGCCGAAGAAATTTTCCGCACATTCTTTGGCTGGCAAACAACTTAGAGACGCAGGCCCCGCCCCTCGGAAAAGGCGTTTAAAGGCAACTTGACACGCCGGCAAATAAAATCTAAACTTCTTAAAGCCCAAACACACACCCATACCCTTGTCACAGCCCCGCCGAGGGGTCGATGAAGCTAAAAACGAATACGAAAAGCAGTAAAAAAAAAATGATAAACGCTTCAACTGATGACACATTCAGTTTCACACACGAACGACTTTCAATTTACATTTGATGTTTTATGTTTCGCAGCATTTACCAAACGAAGAACGAAGAAAGACCGAATGAGCCGCCGGGGGAGGGGCCGAGTGGAAAAGAATCACTCATACGCACCCACGCACATGAGGATTGGCGCCCAACGTTTGACGCCGCCTGGCAAAACGCTTAGAAAGGAAATAGCACAAAAAAATACTGAAAGAGCAAGGACTCGAAGGAGTGGCGGCAGGAGACTTTTGCAGACGACCACGACGGTGCCAGAGTCAAGGCAGAAGGCAGCAGGCAGTAGGAGAAGCAGCTAACATTGGGCAAATAAACGAAAAATATTTTGTACTTCAAATAGAAAACGAACGCAGTCAAAAAAAACAACAAAAAAAGACAACGAATTTATGGCGAATACTCGAACCATTAATGCTCCATAGTTAACAATTTTTTTTAAATTTCTAAGCTATATTCTTAAGTATTTCTAATTTCAAATATAAATATTTATAAATTCTTGGAAATTAAGATGAAACGTTTTAAGGAGCTCCATTATCCATATTTAAATTTCTTTTTCGTACTTATTGAAACAGAATATTGAATGATTATAATTATCTGTATTATCTTTAAAATAAAACTTTTCTTAGAACAGACAACTACCGATTCATGCCGAAACCTTTCTCTCAAGTACAGGGTATCATTAAACGGCAGGGAAGACACATCAAAAGAAGTAATCCAGTCAAAATCAGGCCTCTCACTCAAGAAGGCATAGCGATTGTAGGCAAGTCTGTGATTTTAGGGGTCGCATATATAGCTTTCTTCAGTCAAACGTATGATATATTTCTAGATCAGCCTGGTTATACCAATTTAGAAAAACAGAAAAAAGAAAACGCTATCCTATTGACTAATGCTTAACCAGAAGAAGAAGCCTTCCTCGCATTAGCCACCCCACTAAGCCCAAAGACTTTTTTTTCCTATTTACATATTACTTTCCTGCCTCAAAGAGACAGAGTGAGTTCCTTGAACAACTTTCAACTTATAATAAGCATGGTGCTCAAGGATATTTCCTACTACACACTGACAACGTGGTGGTGGTGGTGTAAACTTTTCAATGGTCACTCGAGGGCGTTTCCCGAAAACCGATGCTTGACAAGTTGCCTCCTTGAGATCGCCACAAAGGCACTTCAAATGAGGCCCACAAATAGAAGGCCTTCCACTCAGCATGCGGTCAGCACAAAAAACAAGAAAGTAAAGAAAGTAAAACAAAGCACCCGAAAAGCAGTTTGAGCCGAAATTGCCCATAACGAGCACTTGACCAGGGACCAGGGAATGTGAGATGGCCATAGAGTTCAGGGAAATTCGCAACTTCTTTCGCATACCTTGTAGAACCTCTTCGCTCTGATGGCCTGTATCGCAGCAAATAAATTTAAAGCGGCCGCAAGGAAAAACGATGCACTTAAAGACCCCGCATTTGTATCAATGAAGGACGTGTCACATAAGTAACGTTAAGTTCCTTTTTTTCTACCTAATTTATACAGTTTACGTTTGCGGGCTGTCCGGCCGAGGTCCTTGCGGTCTCAGGATTCCATTCGAGTCCGGGTCCACCACTCGAAGCCATATAATTGCGCTTATTTCTTGGCGCACACTCAAGTGGCCCGGCTCAATATGTTTTTGGAGTGAAATGAAGTGCCCATCGTGTCCACTTGGCAGAGGGAAAAGAGCCGGACAAGGGCAATGGAATCCCAGCAGAAGTAGAAATTTTTGTATTTGATTTAAAAGGAAATACCTTTTTTAGTTGGAGCCGAAGAAGCCTCTCGCACAGCTTGTTTACCCTGCTGTTTCTCCTTCTCCTTGGAGTTTTCCTTTTTTGTGGCGACATTTTTATACGCAGTGTGTGTCTGTGTGAGCGAGTGCTCCTTTTTTTCCGTTCGGAGGGCAGGGACAACTTTTTGGCATGCTACCAATGAGATTATCTTAAGTGGGGTGTTGCTCCTGGGAGAGCAGCCGAAGCAGGCGGGGAGCCCTCAATTGCAGTCTTCAAGTTGGGTTTCCTTTTTGTTGGTCTAGAAATGAGTTTTTGCAATAGTTTTTAACTGTCCGGGGTGGGGGGTCTGCGGTTTTTGTTTCTCCGGGAGCGGGTTCTTTGGTCGTGTTGTTAGGTAAATCGATGTAAATTGCTTTTTAAAGAAGTTGAATGAATAAATTATGTGAGCAAATGAAGAGGCAACCAGCAGAAGAAGCCATAGTTGGCAGTAAAATACAAATTCACTGCAACACATATTTTCCAAAGTTTTTGAATTTAACGAATGATCTCGAACAATTGTGAAAGTGAATGGGTAATGGGTAATCATATAATTGTTATATTCAAGTAAAGTTTAGAGCTTAAACAATTACAAGTCGCAATTGACTTGGACTAAATTTAATACAAGGCAAGACTGAAATATCCTTTCTCTTTCGGGCGCTGTGAGTGCATCTTTTGAAAGCCTCAAGTGTGAACACACATTATAATAAACGCCTCAATTGTTGTGCAGTCATCTGCGTAATTTATGTTTAGCTAATGTTCAGGGATCGATGAGCTTGTCAGCTTTTGTGAATCACAACACCCGCAGACGCACACAGCAGTCAGGAGCCAGGACACGGGACACAGGACCCCTGTGCTGTGGCACACACATACAGGCCCGCACATTAACCTCCTCGAAACCGAAGGAAGCTGGGAAATGACGTTAAGGTTGCTTCGTTGAGTCTAATAGACTTTCATGTCTGCCTCGACATCGACTTTGCCCCAGTTTAGAGCGAGTCCTGCGAGAAATCCTTTCGGCATCCACTCCACCTCTCCTCCTCGCTCTCCCCCGGCTGGTGTTATTCTCCGCAGACTCTACGTTTTTTTAGACATGTTTCAATGATTTCTTATTTTTGCCAGAGGGGCGAATCTGTTGCGCTGCTGTTTTGTCGTTAGAGAAATTCAATTTTTTTTTATTTGTCGCTCGCTCGCTGTTAAATCATTGATGTGTGAAATTTGTTAGCTCCTCCGCCAGGACTTGACTTTGATCGATATTTAAGTCAGTTTTTGCCCCACTTTGAGAACTGTTTTTCAGCCTTTCCGACTCGTTTTAAATTTCCAAACATCGAGTGGGCCTTGAGAAGAACATTTTCGAAGCTGTAGCCCCATTTGTGGTGATAGACTCATTCCATTTTAGTCTGCTGTTTTGTAAACATATCGTACCCTTCTCTGTGTACGAGCAAAAATTAATTCCAAGTCCAAAAAACTCCTTTCTAAAATATTTCGAATATTCCTTAAGGAATTCACAAACCGAGTCGAAGTAAGTTGAAATTGTTTTCCTCTTTCAGGAGTTCCTTTTCAAGCCAGTTTCCCTTGCAGTCAGTCCTAGCTAAAGATGTGTTGCCAGAGTGCTTGCGGATCGGTGTCCTTTGCCTTGGCCTACGGTCCCGTCGGTCCTGCCCTGCCAGCCATGAACTACAACAGCTGCTGCTGTGGCCCAAATCCGCCATGTGGTCCCTGGACTTGCCCACCCAATAGGTGCTGCTGCGCTGGCGAGTGGGGATGCTTCGGGCCCTTCTACTGAGGATCACCTGACCGGGACAACTGCCATCTGGACATCGGCTAGAGTTTCATATACTACGAAAAGGATGGAATTTAATTTTTGTTTACAAAAATAAATTGGAATGTGCAAAACAAATTTGGGCATAGATATTTTTTAAGCTTTGGATACATCATAGAATTAGGACAATCTAACGATTCTAGATTGTGGTTTATGGAAATTTTGTAGGGCTTATGAAGCCTCTTAAAAAAGGTAATTTCCGGCTTGAGGAATATGCCTGCATATTTTTCGAAGCGGTTTTCTACGCAAAAAAGCCGATGCCATACGTAAGTGATTTTTTTCCCTTCGTTTTGAAGACACTCATCATGTTAATCGCGAATAAAAAGAGGACATATTGTGCCACTATAATTTATTTAGTCATTCAAGCAGTCGTCGGGGAACATATCGTCACTTTCCAGTCTTCTTTTGCGCCTTATTCTGAGTCGCTCCTCCAGTGCAGATCTGCGATTCCAGCGGAGCCAGGGTGTGCGGCACGTAGCAATTGTTGCTGTTCTTGCGGCTCGTGTCCTTGGCATAACAATTGTCATTGGGTCCACAGGGAGTGGGAATGAAGTCCCGGCCCGTGAAGCGTATCGTGGACAAAGGTGGATTATTGCAGGCCAAATCGTAAGAGGCACAGGCCCAGCCGCCGCACATGGTTATGTTTTTTAAAGGAGGAACTAAACATAAAAAACGATTTATAAAATAAAATTCAAAATAATAAAAACTAAATCTTACTCGACACAGAGGTGTGAAATGTGGGATGTTGAAACGGCAACGACTGGACTTGGACTGACTTTTAGTACTTCTCTGCTGTCAAGCAAGGAGATTCAAGACCTACTTGGGCCCCTTTGCAAGGAAGTACAATTTTGTCGATTCTGTGACCACTCCGGGGCCAACTAGAGCCCGATCCTGTCTACCATCCGCAACCGTTGCAGCATCCGCCGCAGCAACCCCCGCAGGCCGAGCAGTCGTCGCAGGGACCACAGGGAGTCGGCGTGAAGCAGCGACCGGTGTAGCGCAGTGTTGAGAGCCGCGGATTGCAGCAGGCTATTTGGTAGGAGGCACAGGCCCAGCCGCCGCACATCTTGGTGTAGTTTTTCTGTTGGCAGGTTTCTTTTTTATCCCCTTTTCGGGTTAGTTATTGCCTGGAGCTGGACAGAAAATCGAGTGTTTGGGGCCGAAATGGAAAGCAAACTGAAATGGGCGAACAAGCCCAGAGCAAAGTCGCTGTTTCGCTCTGACAGCTGGTGACAATCTCTTCGACGCCGCCCTTGGGGTCTGACAACGCTTTGAAAATCTGGCCTAAAAGCAAACTTGGCTAGCGTGGGGACCTGGTAAAGGATTCGGAGCAGTTGGTACCGTGGAACGTGGGTGAAGAAACTCATTTAAAATCTCGGATCAATCTAAATAATTGCAAAACCTTTAAGAATTATCCTTAAATTCTATTTTATAGCTCATTCTAGATTTCCCTTACTCAATTTTAATTCTGCATTCTCTCCACCGTTGGTCATGCAAATCTCTGTGCGACACATAACGAACCGTGACGAAACCCATTGCACTTCCCAACCAGCCAGGCGCACACAATCAATTCCATTAGCCACTCTGACTGACCGCAGGGAGGGTAAAGGATTCGAGACCTCAATAGATACAGGCCACACACATGGTTTTATTGAATTGCAAAAATCAATGCAGAATTGCCTCGAGCTCTGCAACTTTTGTAATTTTTGAAATTCAACACATTTTTAATTGGTGTGAAGCATTCCTTGTTTGACTTGTCACATTTTAAATAAATATTTAACAAAACTTTCGCATTTTAACAAGCGATTGCCAAATTTCCACCGGATTTTCGCTTTGATTGTCAGACAAAAAAGGTGCTAAATAGTGTCCTGGAGCCTTGGGAGCGAATTACTTTCACTGTCCCGGCGTATTTAGCACGTTTTTTTGCGGCAGAAATTTAGCAACAGGTTGAAGACGAGTCGGACTTGGGATGAATTGTGCAGCGCCTAGATTTCGACCGCATTTCGGTCCCTGTGGTCCTTGTGGTCCCGGTGGTCCTTGTGGACCCTGTGGTCCCTGTGGCCTCAGTGGTCCTTGTGGACCCTGTGGCCTCAGTGGTCCTTGTGGACCCAGTGGCCTCAGTGGTCCTTGTGGACCCTGTGGCCTCAGTGGTCCTTGTGGACCCTGTGGTCCCTGTGGCCCCTCTGGATTTTGTGGACCCTGCGGCGGACCCTGTACTGGCTGCTTTGTTCCCTGTGGATCCTGCGGACCCTATGCATCCTGCAGACCTTGCGACCATTGCGGACCTCCGCCCTGCGCCGTGGTCTCGTACCAGCTGACCTCCGGACCAGTGGGTCCCGTGTTGCCCGGAATGCAGTGCACCTGCAGCCCAGCGTGTGGCGGATCCTGTGGCGTATCCTGCTGCGGCCCCTGTAGCGTACCCTGCGGCGGCTGCTGCAACGGCAGCTGCGCGCCGCCCTTCTACTTCGTGCCGAACAACTGCCGGAACTGCTTCGAGTGGGGCCGCTTCGGACCCACGTATTAGTGTTGCACTTTTGATGGACCCTTCATAACACAGTTTCGAATGCAATAAATTCACGTGTCAGCCAGAGTTATGCGCGGCCTGTTCTATTCCGCTGACACTCTGACAGGCTAACAAATGACCCAGGTCCCCGTTTCAGGGTTGCCGAAGTTTGCCCCATGAAAATCATTTAACATTCGAACTTTTGTTAGCCATATAGGGCTGGCTCGCTGTCCAACAAAGCAACGAAAAAAAAAGAAACAGTGACCAGCAAAAGTTTCCGGGCTAGAAAAACAATACAAAAATGGGTAAAAATCTGAAAACTCGGTCGGACGGCAAAAAATGTTCCCTGTAAAAACAAAATATGGGCATTTCCATAATGTCGCACGCGACATTCGTACGCATTCAAACCAAAAAAAAAGTATGGTACATTTCATTTCTATTTTTTTTATATATGTTAACTTATAGCTCTTGCCTAGGACTATAATTGGTGCAAATGTTGATGTTGAGTGTTTGCTCAAATTTAAGAAAATTTAAAAAAACTAAGCGATTCGCACGCGACAAAAACAGAAGTAACTTTTGCGGCGAGCTGTTTAAACACTGATTTCAGCGAAACGGCAGGGATTATTTTAATGAAACAAATTTTAAAATGTGATGCAGAATGCCAGTTTCATATGCTTTAATTTACAATCAGAAATATAGCGTAGTTTATTTTTTATTTAATTTTAATGAGATTCGCACGCGACATGTCGCACGCGACATTTTTTATCATCATACTTTGCATGTAATTTTTACTATTATAAGTAAATTGGAAGAGCATATATGCATTTTATTTCGACTTTTTGCATTCTTCTAGTCATAGTAGAATTATACAAGGTAGTATAATTCTACTATGCTTCTAGTGATGTTAGTAAACAACAGTCGACAGTTAGTGCCTCGGTTTGGATGTAATTATCAAAAGAAAACAGGCCCATTTTTATGATGTTTTTCATCAAAATAATGAAAAATCGTGTTTGCGCGAATATGCATTCAAATATTTCGAAATTTGTTTTAGAATATGATAAAGCCCTTCAAATTTAATCATTTGGCCTTTTCCTAATGTTAATATGTTGGAAAAAAAACATTTTAGAGAAGTTTTAGTGTTTTGGCCGCGGTTGACCATTCTGTGGAAATGCCCATATGCGTGTGAAAACCTTCCAATCTATTTGGTTACACGACGTACTTATGTAGGTCATGGATCTGACAGTTTTTGTTCAGCTATTCGGTTGTGTTTTATGTTTATTTTGGGCACGCTTGAACGGCGAAGACAGGTCAATTGAACGAACTTTTTGACAACGGTTCGCGTAAGGAACAACAACGAAATATTTTGGCTAGAAATTGCTGTAGTTTTGAACAAATTGAGGTATGTCGGCAAATAAATTGCTTTTTTTCAATTAAACATCCATTCTATACAGCGGAGTGAAGGGAGAAATAGTAAATGGAACCCTAGCACTTTCTAAAACTTTCCATTATTTAAATTCTCAGCCATATCAAAAGCGGTTATTATTATTATTATTATTATTATTTAATCATTATTGAAATTATATTAAGAAATACAAATAATCTAGTGAAAAGTAAGTAATTTTATGAAGGATAAACCTATAGCTTTAGTTTAGTTCACAATATAAATTAAATACCAAATCTTAACATTCTTTATAGAATACAATCTAACAAAAAATGTAATACAATTTGTAGGTTCCTAAACTCCAACAAATTTAAAGATTTAAACAATGATCAATTTTGAATTATTTTTCTAATCTAAAAGTATCTCTTTCGGGTAATTTTCATAAAACTAAGCAAAATGCACAGAAAATCAATTTGAATTTTGAAGAATTTAAATTGTTTCCCAAGCTTACAATCTCAAAAACCTTACTGATAACATTTAAAATAAATATTTCAACAGTTTTCACTCCCTCCAAAATGTTGTACACCATTACTATTTTAATTTGTTTTGAGGCAAAAATGAAATCTAGCTGTAAAATTCCAAATATCATCCTTACTCTGGCAATGAAGGACTAACAAATGTAATCGTGAAAGGACTCCCAGATCCCGATTTCTCGACTCACCTTCGGAGCAATGGCAAGCACGATAAATGCTATGACTGCCGGCAGTTGTCGTCCTCGGTGCTGTGATTGTTGTTGTCCCGGCAATAAATTAACTTATTTTAGCACGTTACACAGCTCTCGCTCCCTGTGCTTCCTCAGCTCTCCCTTTGGCTTTGCCGCACACAAACACTGACACTGGCAGGAGCAGCGTCGGGGGATTTCAGATTTCGGGACCGACCAGGATCTATCTCGCACTGGAGGATGGAGCTTGACCTATGCTGGTGGCTAACAGTAACGCTTTTCGCTCCTGCTCTACTCCTCTTGGGGGTCCTCGTGTTTTCTGCGGATTTCGCACATTTCTCACATATTTTTCATAATTTTGCGCAGGCAAATCGCGTATGGCCAAAAAACGTGTGTACGAAATAAAAGTTTTACGAAACGAAAAGTTTGTCCTGTTTCTGTTTGCAGTGTGTGTTTGTTTTTTGTTTTGGCAGCACTCAAATCTCTGGTGAAATATTAATTTTCACATATTCTGACACTTTGGCTGCCGGCCGTTGTTGTTTGTCCACTTATGAGGCTTCTATTTTGTTTCGATTTCGCATTTAATTTTTTTAGCAAGCTAATTTATTCTCTGCCCGTCGGCCGGGGTTTGTTTTTGTTGTGCCTGCTCAGGATACTATTTAAACTGAGTGGCTCGTTCGTGTTCGTTGGGGGCTGCGTTCGTGAGCGGAGGCAACAGCAGAGCGAACCAAACGTTATGACATTATCAACGTAACTGACGCCTCAGCGGCAGGAAGCTGTCGGTCCTCGCCGGAATCCCAACAACAGCAGCTGAGCCGACGTCGCTGCTGTTAGTTTATCCTGCGACCGAAGGAATTCGGCAGCATTCGGGTCCTGCCGGCGAGAGCAAAGGACATCGACGGCTCTGGTATTCGCAACTCAACGAAACGCGAGCCGAAGTCCCCATCGAAGTCCTTGTTTTTCCAGGGTAATTTTGAGAGAGCCAGGAAAGGCAATTGAGAGTCGAAAGGGAAATTACTTGAACTCCGCTCAGCGAGCTTTCAATTTCGAAAATAGGACTGTTTTCATTCAACAGAAAACTTTTAGGCTTTACAGAAATTTAGAATTATTGAGCATGACCACGTTTTAGCCACTGAACTCTAAACAACTAACAGACCTACCATACAACCAGAAATGATAAAAAACGTGTTATTTTTGACAACTTGGCTATATCTTTATACCCTTGCAGGGTATTATAATTTCAGTCAGAAGTTTGCAACGCAGTGAAGGAGACATTTCCGACCCTATAAAGTATATATATTCTTAATCAGCATCAACAGGGGGAATCTTTCTAGATATGTCAGGAAGAAATCGATTTTTTGGCCATTTTTGCAAAATTTTATAAGGGGTTACATCATTAAAATTTTTGATTTTGATAAAAAATTCAATTTTCAAAATTTTAAAATGAAGTATGCAGATTTATTAACTGTAGAAAATCTTGCACAGAACAGTTTTCCGATTTAAAATTAATGCTCTTTTGGCCGAGCTATGATATTTTTAATTTTACAAAAAAATAAAGAAGTTTTTTAATATAAACAAGAAAGGAAGCTAACTTCGGCACGCCGAAGTTTGTATACCCTTGCAGATTGGTTTTCATATTTATATCATAAATCTAATGCCGAAAACAGACACTAAACAGAGTTTCATAACATTTTACCTATACTTATTATGTTTACAGTTTGAAAGTTACAGTTACATTCCCAGCTTTACATTTTCTCTACATCTACGGATCGCTTCCATGGCAGCTATATGAAATAGTTGTCCGATTTTCATTATATTTATACCAAAATTCTGATAAAATACCAGAAGCTCATGTCTCAAATTAGATTTAAAATTTTTTTCTAATATTTTACCTTTTTTTTTAGATTTTTAAAATTTTTTTTAGAATTTAAAAAATTTTTTTTAAATATTTTAACTGCCAAATTTGAATTTGAATTTAACTGTCAAATTTGAATTTAACGACGATCAGTTTCAGTGTGCCCAGGTGCAGTTGTAAAATGACACCTAAATTTGGATTCAAAAGGTTTGAGTCTCCGCTTACTTCCGCCGGCTCCGAAATGGTTTGAAACTTGGACAAAATTTACAATATGGTCACACTGGCACGTTTTTCGTGGCCCAAAGTTTTTATAACAGTTTATAACAGTTTTCAGTTGCTTGCTGCTGGTTTCTGCTCGCCTGGTACCCCAATTTGGGAAACGGGCAATTTGCATGGAAATGTTCGGAAATTTGGATTGGCTGCTGTAGGGATGTTGTTGTAAAAAGGTTGTTGTTGCCATCAAGCTGTTGTTGTCGGCAACAAATAGGTATAAATGCACAAAATGAAATATAACAGTTTATACCAATTATTATTTTTGCCCAAATGTTCTTCCATCAGTGATGCTCATCTGCATCAGTGATGCTCATCTAGCTATATTGCAATATTGGGAGGCTATAAAATCGGGCTTAATGGCAGTGATGCTCATCTAGCTATATTTCTTTATTGGGACAAAATAGATAGATGAGCATCACTGATGCAAAGTCTGATTTTATAGCCTCCCAATATTGCAATATAGCTAGATGAGCATCACTGCCATTAAGCCCGATTTTATAGCCTCCCAATATTGCAATATAGCTAGATGAGCATCACTGATGCATATGAGCATCACTGATGGAAGTGAGCGTCACTGATGGAAGTGAGCATCACTGATGGAAGTGAGCATCACTGATGGAAGTGAGCATCACTGATGGAAGTGAGCATCACTGATGGAAGTGAGCATCACAGATGGAAGTGAGCATCACTGATGGAAGTGAGCATCACTGATGGAAGTGAGCATCACTGATGGAAGTGAGCATCACTGATGGAAGTGAGCATCACTGATGGAAGTGAGCATCACTGATGGAAGTGAGCATCACTGATGGAAGTGAGCATCACAGATGGAAGTGAGCATCACTGATGGAAGTGAGCATCACTGATGGAGATGAGCATCACTGATGCAAGTGAGCAAATTTTTTCATTCGATTTGGCCGCTTTCCAAACTGGGGTAACTGGCGAACAGAAACCAGCAGCAAGCAACTGAAAACTGGTATAAACTGTAATAAAAACATTTGGGCAAAAATAATAATTGGTATAAACTGTTATATTTCATTTTATGCATTTATACCTATTTGTTGCCGACAACAACAGCTTGATGGCAACAACAACCTTTTTACAACAACATCCCTACAGCAGCCAATCCAAATTTCCGAACATTTCCATGCAAATTGCCCGTTTCCCAAATTGGGGTACCAGGCGAGCAGAAACCAGCAGCAAGCAACTGAAAACTGTTATAAACTGTTATAAAAACTTGGGGCCACGAAAAACGTGCCAGTGTGACCATATTGTAAATTTTGTCCAAGTTTCAAACCATTTCGGAGCCGGCGGAAGTAAGCGGAGACTCAAACCTTTTGAATCCAAATTTAGGTGTCATTTTACAACTGCACCTGGGCACACTGAAACTGATCGTCGTTAAATTCAAATTTGACAGTTAAATTCAAATTCAAATTTGGCAGTTAAAATATTTAAAAAAATTTTTTAAATTCTAAAAAAATTTTAAAAATCTAAAAAAAAAAGGTAAAATATTAGAAAAAAATTTTAAATCTAATTTGAGACATGAGCTTCTGGTATTTTATCAGAATTTTGGTATAAATATAATGAAAATCGGACAACTATATCATATAGCTGCCATGGAAGCGATCCGTAGATGTAGAGAAAATGTAAAGCTGGGAATGTAACTGTAACTTTCAAACTGTAAACATAATAAGTATAGGTAAAATGTTATGAAACTCTGTTTAGTGTCTGTTTTCGGCATTAGATTTATGATATAAATATGAAAACCAATCTGCAAGGGTATACAAACTTCGGCGTGCCGAAGTTAGCTTCCTTTCTTGTTTATATTAAAAAACTTCTTTATTTTTTTGTAAAATTAAAAATATCATAGCTCGGCCAAAAGAGCATTAATTTTAAATCGGAAAACTGTTCTGTGCAAGATTTTCTACAGTTAATAAATCTGCATACTTCATTTAAAAATTTTGAAAATTCAATTTTTTATCAAAATCAAAAATTTTAATGATGTAACCCCTTATAAAATTTTGCAAAAATGGCCAAAAAATCGATTTCTTCCTGACATATCTAGAAAGATTCCCCTGTTGATGCTGATCAAGAATATATATGGTTTATAGGGTCGGAAAGGTCTCCTTCACTGCGTTGCAAACTTCTGACTGAAATTATAATACCCTGCAAGGGTATAAAAATCCGGTTTTATAATACAAAATAATATTTTTCTAAGTCAAGGAATCATTTCCGACCCCATAACCCATATATATTCTTGATCAGCATCAACAGGGGAATCTTTCTAGACCTGTCCGGAGGAAATCGATTATTTGGCCATTTTTGCGAAATTTGATAAGGGGTTACATCATTGAAAGTAGCAAAAATGGCAAAAAATTTTGATTTCTTAAAATTTTAAATTTGGTTTGCAGTTTTTTTAAATGAATAAAAACTAACACAAAACTGCTTTCCGAATCGAAATTAATGCATTTTTGGCTTAGTTATGATATATTTTAATTGTTACCTGCAAGGGTATACAAACTTTGGCTGGCCAAAGTTAGCTTTCTTTCTTGTTTTATTATTACTCAAATCAGTATAAATCTAGTCAGTCTAATCAGTGTAAAATTGGCAAAACCAAACATCTTTAAATAATATTTTTAATAATGATAGCTACATAAATATCATACTACCTACTTTCACAGGCTTAAAGGTAATCCTGATTGAATAATTTTTAATTATTAATTAAATCAGTTCCTAAAAGTCGCTTTCAATTAATAATTTTAGCAAGATAAGAAGCTATGCCCCACTGACGGCTTCAAAATACATTAAAATGCTTAAAATTTTACTTTGTGAAGACGATACTAAAGCGTGAAACTTAGAAGACAGCGTCTATAGTGGTCAACGCAAACCGGAAATAATGCACGACATACAAAATGGAAGCCATATTGACAGGATTCGACATGGGAGGAAATGGGGACGGGGAGCGGGGGACTGTGCCAAGGCGGAGAAATAGAAGCAGCAGCGGTTGAAACATAAAGCAATAAACAAGAAAATACCAAACATGACAAGCAGCAGTGGCAGCAAACAAAACAAACCAGGGAAAGGATACATGTGTAGTACCAGCGCTACCAGAGGATACGGATAAATAAATATATGTGCAGGCGAGTGTGTGTGCGTGGGACAGGATGCTCTGGCTAGACAATAACTGTAAAATGTAAATATTAATATTGTCATAATAGACAAGACAAGTTTGAGTGCAGAACTGGGGTGTCCGGAAAAGACAACGACGACGACGATGATGATGATTGCCCCTATGGATGCGATCCTGATGGATAACCGCAAAAGTGCCGTTAAGCTTACCGGTTATGCAGGAGCGTGGAACGACGCTGCGAGAGCAAACCAAACAGAATACAAAATGTCAGCTCATTTCCGGTTGCTTAATTTGAAATCGTTGTGCCAAAAATTACAAATGAGCTGACAATGGGACACCAAGGAAACCAAACAAGCGAAAAATAACAGGACACTGGCCACGGCGCGGCAGCCAGACAGGCGCAGAGGGGGGAGGAGCGGAGGAGGAGTGGAGGTCCTGCCGAGGGTGGCGGCAATAAGCACAAAATAGCAGCGTCT